AAAGGTTCATAATGATTACAGACTCTGCAGGAGGGCTGGGCTGTGGGGGTGAGCATGCCAGGTACCTGGGAATGAAGCTGCTCAATTAAAACACGAGCATCCTCATCCCGGTCCAGCAGGACTTGGTCCCAAGCCTTCCCGCCTCATGTCCCACAGTTTTGATAACACTGTGAGTCAAATCTGCAGAATAAAACTTCTTAAAATAAAGTGCTGGTTTGGTCTGTTTGCCCACTATTTGCAGTTTTGTGCAGCTTGCCCCATGCCCAAACGTGGTGTCCATACCAGGGCAGCCTCCGGGGCTAGCGGAGGAAGCAGGAGCACAGCTGGGCACCTGGGCACCTGGGTGTCAACGTTCCATCTCTGCGCCTCTGAGCTTTACTCAAGGGGAAGAACTTGAGCTCAACGGCTCGGGGCCCTGTGCCCATGAGAGGCTGTGTGGCACCTTTAATTTCCCTGGAGCAAAATCTAGTCTTGCAAGCAGCCTGGTCAAAGTCCCCTGGATGTCTAAGGAAGGCACTCGAGGGATTTTGTCGCAGCTTCCTGCCTGTGCTAGTCATGAAGGGCAGGTTGTGGATATTCCATCTCTCCTCCTCTGAGCACACAGAGGGATGGCACCTCCCTGCTGCCCTTGAAGTTCAGTGTGACAGGAAACTTGCTTTGGCCAATGAGATGGGAGCAGAAACAACAGGGATGGCTTCTGGCAGAAGCTTTAAGAATCCATGCATGATTCACTTCTCCCCTGTCCCCACCTCCATGGAAGCATAAGGTGACAGGCAACCTCTGCTAGCCTGGGGCTCTGAACGAGCAGAAAACATACTCCGTTACACAGGTAGCATAAGCAAGAGACAAACTTGGCTTCGTGAAGTCACTGGGACTGGGGGGGTTCTTTGTTACTGCCGCATAATCTAGGCAATCCTAAGGGATAGCATGGCCCGCTCATATGACCGGTCAGCAACCTCCAACTTCTAACTCCACCTCACCTCTGGCTTTTAGATTTCCCCTCTGTTGAGTTCAGCCCTCAGGGCCACAAAATGGACTTAAGCTACCCACACACCAAGCTGTCTCCTGATTCATGGATGAAGACTGATACCTATGGGTAGCCCACAGGGACCCGGCAAAACCCTGGCCTCTAATGCTACCCAGCCCCAGTGCCCTAGGCATGAAAACAGGTACCATGTTCCCCACTGTCAGCACCTACACCAGAGTCTTCCTATTAATGTGGCCCATGCCAGCTAGGCCGACCGCATAATTTATTGTCCAAAATGATCTTGAGAGTGAAAGGGGACTGGGTGACAGGCATAAACCTTTGCTGTCCGGGGCACACAGGGATGCGTGGACACCCTAACTCCGACGCCATCATCTCTACGGTCTTAGGCCTAGGGGGTATGAGAAAAATGCCTAGAGGCACTATCTCAGGAGAGAGCACCATATCCAGGAAATGTGATTTAAGGCCGAAGACGAGGCATGTGGTAAAATGAATGTTTATCAGACTGTACTCTGCTTTTACTATTCTACGTGGCATTGGGCTGAGTGGGTACAGCTGTTTCTCTAAGCAGGCGCATGCGAATAGCACTAGGCGTCCAAACGAAACCAAGAGCCCAGTGCAAAATCCAGCCGGGAAGTCTGAACACCCTGCAGAAGCATGAAGAGCGTCTTCCTCCCGCAGGTCAGCCTGGGAGTCATTTAAGAGGAAGAAGGACAAAATCAAGAAAACAATCTTAGCAGCAGAAAGAACTATGGAAACAAAGTCAAAGTAAATACAATATCAGGGACCATGGGCTCCTCCTCTCCTGGGCACCTGAGACATATTAATGTCGGTAAATATTTTCAAAGAATGCTGAATCTTCTAGACCAAGTAACACATTGTAGACGGTAGTTGATTTTTCTAAACTGCTGCTATTTTGAATTTTCCTTTACTTTGTAAAATACCACGATTCTAATTGGTTCTCAAAATCTTATGGCTTATGATCAGGAAGTAGATAACGATTTTTGAAGAATCTGTTTTTCTGTGTCCCAATACAAGAGTTCTTTGCAATACACAGGGCTTTGGACACAAGACCCGAATCTGTGAGGGCCTGACAGGAGTAGGGGGCCTTGGACAGACATGGATGGCAGATGACCAGCCCAAGCTACGCAGACAAGGTTCAGCCATGCGTTTCAACTCCAGGCAAAACAATGGAGTATTCATCGCCCTGCTGGAAGAATCCGCCCTTCCTCCCAGGTAATCCCAATAAAGCAGCTATTATCCACCGCAATAAATATGCAAGGGTGTGGCTCAGACAAAGGCCTGGGTTACTTCTCCAAATGTTCACTGAGGACCACCATTGTTCTGACACAACAATGTAGCTCACAGTTTATAAATGCAGCCACAATTCTGTCTCTTAATTTAGGTTAGAGCCACCACCGCTTATGGGGTCCTGCCTTCTCCTGGGATTAGAGGTTCTTGACCCCAGCTACCCATTAGAATCACTTGGGATCTTTAGAAAAATCCTGATGCCCAGGCTGCACCCTAGACCAATGAAATCACAATCCCTGGGAGCGGGGCCCAGACGTCAGTATTTCCAGAAGGCTCCTCGATGATTCTATTTTTTTTTTTTAAAGATTTTATTTATTTGAGAGAGAGAGAGAGAGAGAGAGAGAGAGAGAGCACAAGACGGGGGAGGGTCAGAGGGAGAAGCAGACTCCCTGCTGAGCAGGGAGCCTGATGCGGGACTCGATCCCGGGACTCCAGGATCATGACCTGAGCCGAAGGCAGTCGCCCAACCAACTGAGCCACCCAGGCGCCCCTCCTCGATGATTCTAATGAGCAGCTAGGGCTGAGAACCACAGACTCGGGTAGACCTGGATCTGTCAGATGCTCACTTACTGTAGGTTCGTGCCCCACTTCTCTGGGCATCCCCTGCTACTGCTCAGACTACCCCCACTTTCTGATCTACTTGTGTGCGCAGACCTCAATCAATCCAGAACCTAGTTCTTTCCTCTTTCTAGGAGTTTCCTAAGGCTGCATGACAAAATACCACAAAGTTGGTGGCTTAAAACAACAGAAATATACACTCAGAAATTTAGTTCTAGAGGCTAGAAGTCCAAAAGCAAGATGTTGGCAAGCCATGCTCTATGCCAGGATCCTTTCTTGCCTCTTCTAACTTCTAGTGGTTGCTGGCAATCCTTGGTGTTACTTGGTTTGTGGACATATTACTCCAATCTCTCCCTTCATTGTCACTTGGTGCTCTCCCTGGAAGTCTGTGTCCTTTGTTCTTAGAAGATCATCAGTCCTACTCGATTAAGAGCCACCCTACCCGGGTAGGACCTCAACACCTTCCATCTGCAGTAACCCTGTCTCCAGATAGGGACACCTTCTGAGGTTCCAGGAAGCACAAGGTTTCAATCCAGGACACTCTTACTCACGCATATAAAGCAAATCTTTAGATTTTATCTTCATCGGAATGCATATAAGACCTAGCTCACTGGGAGCACAATGCCTTTTAAAACATGTTTTTATCTTGGAATCATTTTAGACTTCTAGAATGGTTGCAAAGATAGTACAGAGAGTTCCTGTATGCTCTTCACCCAGCTTCCCCTAATGTTAACATCCTATAAAACCATGGTACACTTATAAAAACTAAGACAGTCACACCAGGACAATACTGTGGACGTAACTATATACTTTATGCATCTTTCACCAGGTATCCCACCCATGCCCTTTTCCTGTTCTGGGATCCAAATCAGGATACCACCTTGCATTTAACACAATGCTTTTCAGGATGAAAAGGGCCCCAGCCAAGCTCTGATTCACGGCATCAAAACTCCACTTTAGGCATCTTTCCCAAGCTTGCCCTCTAGCCTTCTAGCCAGCCTCACATTTGCATCTAGCCTCCCAGCCAGCCTCATATTTGTGTCCAACTGACTATGTTTCATCTCTTCTTCCTTCCTGTTTGGATCTGGTAACCCGAAGTTTTTAGTCAAGTTAGTTCTTAACAGTTTCGAGGTCATGGGACCACTTTGAGAATCTGTGAGAAGCTACAGATTCTCCTCTGAAGAAAATGCACAGACGAAAACCATTTTGCATCCAATTTCAGAGCAGAAATCAACCTCCCTCTTCCCCCAGGGTCCCCACTGAGACCCGACTTCCCATAGTTTGGCTTCCCCCGGCATTGGTTTTGTGATGAAATCACTATGAAGCCCTCTCCCAGGACAAATTCTCCAGCTCCTGGACGTGACCACAGTACTTTGCACTCTGGGTTTTGGCCAATACCAGGGGTCCCAGCCACTGCCTTGGGCCAGCAGTGGACACTGAGAGTGGCTGGACTCTCCGCTTCTGGCCAACTTGACCACCAGTATTTAACTCCCCAAGTTTTGGTTGACCCTTCCCCTCTTCGGAGCCCACTTTCTCTGGGATGGAAGGAATCTCCCACTCCATAAGTGTAGGATGGAACAGAGAAGAGATGCCTTCTCTGTTCAAAAGGCATGTATGTCATCATTTCGGTTTCAACTAAGAAAAGTGACTCTGGGATCCAGAGCAGTATTACCAAGTTCTTTCAAAATCAGACCTGCTGCCATTTTGAAAGGGCAGGAACCTTGATACCAATGCCTGCCTATGGCATTTCAGCTTTGGAAACAGCATGTGAAGCCCCCCCCGCCGCCACACAAACAACTCGCAACTCTAAAACCCTACACGTCCTCTGAAGCCACCACAGAAGCCTGGAGCAGGAACCAAGGAAAAGGGAACCGTCCCCACTCAATCCTCACAACCTTGGTTTGAACGTTTCGCTCCCCCCAGTTCCTCAAACGCTGTTCTGTCCCCCTCACACGGTCATCCTCAGACGCTGCTCTTTTCTATCAGTGCCTCTGAGCTAGACTACCTGCAGTCCTGGGGCCATACTTTGCTCCCTATTGCAGCTTGAATCAGGATCACACCAATTCCTCCAGCATCAGGCAGAAGGGAACAGGGTTGGGGAACAGACAAGAATAATTCCTCTGGACAGGGCTAGGTCTCGTCTTACCTTCTGCAAATGGTTCCCATTCATAGAAGCGGCCCATGAACGGCTTGTTGTTGTAGGATGCGCACTGGACCTCCCGGATGCTTCTACTGCTTTCGGGACACACCTAATAAAACAGATATTAAATATGCAGTTAGTGTCTGCACCTTTTCATAGCTCCAGTCCTGTCCCAGAAGACCTCTCCAACTTTAAATGCCAATCCTTCTCCACCAAAAGCAGTGTTTCTGAAACTGTGCGGATCACCTGCATCAAAAATTTAAAATGCAGATCTCAAGGCTTCATTCCAAGTTTACTAAATCAGAATCTTTGGAAGGACACTAAAATTTTAACAAGCTCCCCAGGTTAAGCTTTTGCACCATAATTTGAAAACCACTAACTGAAACCTTCTGCTCCTGACAAATTGGTCTGCTCGCCTCCCCCACAAAGGCCATCCATTTCCATCTGTTTGACTTTGTTCGTGCCATTCCCGGACGTGGGATAATACTCACAGCAAGCATGTACAGAATCCTTACCATGTGCACATGCTGCTTTAAACATATTACACTTACTAATCCTCATATTACACTTTAATCCTCATGGTGACCAATGAAGCCACTCTGATAGTTTTGCAGATTTTTCACAGATGAGCAAACTGAGGCACAGAAGAACCCACACAGCCAGTGAGGGCAGAGGCTGGAGTTAGGGCTAAGTGGTCTGGTGGCCACCAGGCTGCATCTCAGTGTCCTTCCCATCTTGTCTAAATTCTCTCCACCATCTAACGCCACAGCTCCCAGCCTTTAGCATGCAAAAGAATCACCCAGAGATCTCACAGGAAATGCAAAGTCCTGGGTCCCTCCCCCAAGGATGGTCAGTCAGTAAGTCTGGGACGAGGTCCAGGCATCTATATTTTATCAAATTATCCAGGTAATCCTGATATACTAGATGACTCAGAGAAAATATCCAGCTCCCTGTGGTTTATCTCTTTCTTATTTATAAATGTAAACATAAGCAAAGTGTGACATGAAATAAATATGAAATATAATAATAAGATCAGAATCTCTAATTCAAATCATGGATAAAGCATGATCTAACTTTTTTAAAACCTAAGTATACTCTTATTTAAGTGTGGGGTATGTGTGTGTGTGTTTTAATAATCAGAGGAAAAGGAATCTGGCCCCTTAAATATTAAAAACCCTGTGTATAAGAAGTCTCCGGAATAAACTGTTAATAAGGTAGCTCAAAGTTCTGAGGGTTTTATAAAGAAATCTACGGTATATGTCAGAAACACCAGGTCTTTTGAAGAGGAAGGAACAAAGGGAGGAATAAAACCAGGTGGAAGGAAAAGCATCTCTTGCGTGATAAAGGACAGTCAGGCGAGGCTGCTGGTACAAACACCCGGGTGGTCATAACCCTGCTGCAGCCTGAACCAAACCATATGGAGCAGGAAGCTATGGGAAGCAGAATGTGGTCGAAACTGGTGGGGAAGAAAGGCCCGGTGGACAGGGTGGGCTGAGCTCTGACAATCAGTGAGAAGCCAACAGGCCGGGGAAGGCTGTCTCCTTGGGCGCTGGAAGCCAGGCTGCTGGTGGCCCCCAAGCCGGAACCGTGTAGGCATCCAACAACACCAGCTGTCTCCATGAAGGACTTGGCATTGAGATGTTTTTGACAACCCTTAGGCCAGAACCAGAGCTTGACGAGGATATGATCAGTGGGGTGACTTGGGAGAAAGAATCACTAAGTGATTTGTTAAAAACACAGATTCTCTTGGGTGCCCGGGTGGCTCAGTCGGTTAAGCATCTGACTCTTCATTTCAGCTCAGGTTATGATCTCAGGGTCGTGAGATCGAGCCTCGCATGGGGCTCTGTGCTGAGTGCGGAGTCTGCTTGAGATTCTCTCCTTCTCCCTCTGCTCCTTCCCCAACTCATGTTCTCTATCTTTCTCTCAAATAAATAAATAAATAAGATCTTTTAAAAATACAGATTCCCAGGCCTCGCCCCAGTGGGAGGGGAGGGAAAGGGCCCAGGAATATATGCGTGAAGCAGTCCCTCGCTGATTCTGGCCCAGCCAGCCTGGCACCGGACCACAGCAGCAATGAAAGAGCACCCCCAAGCCTCAGTCTTACTCTGCGTTAGTTAACAGGCAATCACAGGGTTGGAGCAGTGATAGTCAGACCCAACCCTTCACTTTATCGATGAAGAGACTGAGGCCTGGAGAAGAGGCACAGCCGGCTAGAGGTCACTGTGACACAGCGACAGAGCCCAGACAGAGCCTGACCACCCACTGTGGCCCTAATCAGAAACTAGAGATGAGCTACTGGGTTGCATTTTTTTCATAATGGAAACAGACCAGAACAAGTGGGCAAATATCCTGTTCCTCAAATAACCACACCTATGAAAAGCCAAGCTGCTCGGCAGTGAGGCTCCAGCCAGAAGGCACCCTTAATTAGTCTGGTGGCAGCTATCAGAATTGGAAGCTACAGACCACAAAAACCCAGCCAGGCTGCTTAACCCCTTTCTCTTCCATTAGCAAACTATGCCAAGAGGCTAGACCATGAACCAATGCATCTACAGAATCATTCTGAATTGCTCAGTACTTGATGATATAAATGTATATTTCATGACATGGAAAGTAGTCCACAACCCATTAAGTGAAAAAAAGTGTTAAGTGATTGTGTGTGTGTGCGTGTGTGTGTGTGTACGCACACACATAGAGAAAGAAAGGTTAAAAGCATTATCTCTGGAAGGTGGATTATAGATTTTTTCTTTTCACAAAGAAAAAAAAATTTTTGGTGTATTACACTAATTTTTCTGCAATAAATATGTAATATTTGTGTAATAAGAATGGATCATTACTGAGCCCTTTCAAACACTTTGGCCCTTTGCCAACTTTACATGTGCTTGTAGTTTATAATCTTACGGTATATCTTAATGCCCCACTGATGCTCCTACTCCATCACATGCATCCGCCAAGCCAACCAGTCACATGTGAGGGATCATTCAGGGCCCCCTGCCCCAGGTCACCAATAAGTTCTTTATATCTGAGCCTGGCCCAGTTACCTCCTGAGGCAAGGGGGGCTTCATGTGCCATTGGACCCACAGTGGGGGGTCAGGTGCTGAGGCAGCAAATCCACCTCCAGTTGCCCAAAGGCAGCTGAGCCCAGCAGGTTGCCTGCGGTATCCAGCCCATGGTGAGCACAAGAAGATGCTGCAGGAGATGACCAGGAGCCCTGGCCTGGTCCTGTGTCCTCCCCCAGCAAGGACTCACAGGATGCCACGTGAGCTGCCAGGTAGCGTGTAGGAGAGGGCCCAGGCCAGAGATATTCGAGGCTCACAGGGTCCAGATGTGGACGTGGGTCCTGAGATAAAATTACAGTAAAGGTGATGAAGGCAGAAGCCTGGGCTGATGACGACATTAAGAACAGCTCACTTTTACTGAGCAGTTACTAGATGCCAGGCACTCCACCGCGTGCTCCTATGTATCTTAGCTCATGTAATCCTCACCACAACTATCATACCCATTTTATAGATGAGGAAGCCAAGGCAGCAGAAAGCTAAATGAGCTGCCCAAAGCCATGGGCTGATAAATGATGAAGTCAGGATTTGAACCCAGACACTTTGGATCCAGAACCCATGCCAGTAACCACCATACATGGTGCCCCTCGAGACTGGGTGGACAGCAAAGTGAATCTGTCACAGGTCCTCAGACAAGGGGGCCTTAACTCCTTGCCTGAGAAGTCCTAGTGGCTGAGGTCAGATTCAGCCTCTGAGGCCGGGTGGAGTAGCCTCAGCTGTAAAGATCAGGCAGTTGTGGATTGAGGATGAAAACCAAGCAGGCCAGGGAAATTCTGCTTCATGTCTTGTGTGGGTTACATCTGTTTGTACTTGTCATACTATTATCAATATATGATCTCCTCTCATTTTAACAGACTTTCTGAAGTTAAAACTTCCAGGTTACAGATCATTTTACATTTGTTACATTTTAAGTGGGCTGTTTCCTGATGCCATAGACTGAGTCACCCTCACCTTATCAGTAACTGTCTCTAGTTTACACTGTGAGTTGGCTTTGGGCAGATTTCCTGCAGACACTAATCCTTTCCATGGACACAGATTCTTGTAATCTTCAGGCCAGAAAAGTGGGACAGGGAAAAAGCTGTGCAGATAGAGATCAGGCCCATGCAGGATGGGGCTAGCAAAGAGCAGAGCTTCATTGCCATGTAATGCCTCTGGGAAACCTCCCTTCAAATGACTTCCTTCCACCCAAAAGAGGGAGGAATGTTTCCACTGGTCTCTTATGGGAAAAGGAATAAAGATGGACTTTGATATAATGAGCTGAATCCTTATAAAGCACTTCAGAGCCTATCCAAAGTTCCATCTAGACAATCGCCTAGGGTTGCTATGAGTTACAAAGAGTATTATGGAAACTCGGGCTACGTTCCTAGAGACCCCAGTTAATCTGAGATGACAAGCGCCTGCACCTAACTGCATTGCTCAAGAGGCCACTCTTGGTGATCGTATACTTACCTCTTGATAATTAATTACTTTCAGTTCCTCAGTCGACCGAAGGGTGTCATCCCCAGTGAAGGTGGCACCGAGGAAAATAGGACCTTGAAGTCTGCCCGGGTCAGACAGGCATCGTTCTTATCCTTTGCATTGCTCTGGATTCAATCAGAAGACCAGGGACCAGCCGACAACATATGATGTATTTAACATCCCTGCACTGCCAGGGAAAAGTGGCTGGGTGGCCTTGGGCAAAGCACTTCACTTCTCTAAACCCAAATTACCGCAGGTCAGTAGCAAGCCGCAGCACTCCCATCCTGCAGGGATTTTTTGTGAAGACTAACTTAGTAATACATTAAGATTTCTAGTTCATAATAATGCTCAGTAAATGTTAGCTGAGCTGGAATCTAAGCAGACATCAAAGATGACTCCAGCAGTTCCAGAAGCTTCAAGTGCCCTGACAGGTAGATGTTCTGAGCAAACGTTCCCCTTTCTCTTCCCCAGCTGGAAAAAGGGGTTTGGGTTTCCAGCTGCAGGATAATACAACCACGGATCGAAACTGCTTAGAAATTATCCAGCACATTTTTCAAATATGTTTCATATCTGCTTTCTCAAATCACTTGGAACAAAT